ACATGATGCTCTAGTAATAAGCGTAAGCACATATAAGCTTTACTGTTTCTTTTAAGTTTTTCTCGCCCGTCTCCAATGCCAAATCCTTGGGTTAAAATCAATGGAATATTTCACTCTGTATACTTACCTTAATCTTGGCACAGCCTGTGGTAGTTTTCTGTCCCTTTCCACCAGCGTAAACTGTTTCAGGAAACAAGTCTCTGAGAAATGCGCTGCGAAATACATTTGGAGATATACGTCATATTTTACAACAAACCAATTTTCTGACATGTATCGTGGTGAAAGAAAACGAAAACGAGCACGGTGACCCCTCATTTTTTTTTACTTTCTGCCAAGAGTTGATCTTTATCTTAGTGTGTGTCAAGGTGTAAAAACTCTGCACGTAAGAAAAGTTTCGGCACGAACGTCCTTTAGTCCACTTTTAAGAACATTGACGTACTTTTCACTTGACTGCATCAAAGAAATCATATCATTTGACAGTTCATCTTTGTTTCTCTTGCAAAAACTCTTCACCTCGTAGTCAACCTGTTAAACAAACAATTCACAGTTGGTTTTTTCTACAAAATATCCAGTTGTAGCCAAATTAAATGGCTTAAGAACCCACCCACCCCCCCCCAGGAGTTATCACCTTTTCATAGTTCACAGCGTTGACTGCAAGTTTGTTAACGCAATGCATGTTCTCTCACGTTTCCATTAATCCCTTTATAAAGGATGTCCAAATGTTGTGAAATTAATGCAGATATATACGCAGGTTCATGAAACCGACGAATCTTTAGCNAGTTATCACCTTTTCATAGTTCACAGCGTTGACTGCAAGTTTGTTAACGGAATGCATGTTCTCTTACGTTTCCATTAATCCCTTTATAAAGGATGTCTAAATGTTGTGAAATTAATGCAGATATATACGCAGGTTTATGAAACCGACGAATCTTTAGCCGCCAATTATTAGGTTAAAAGCCAGTCTGTTTGTTAGTCATAAAACTGATGCATGTTTTAATCTGGGGGACCATTAGTTTTGAATATAGAAAACACATTAATTTAATAACCTCTGATTAATACAGACTCTACTGCTAAGTGCTTCGCTAAGAACGAGGATGTGCAACTATTTTGTCCTGCTAGGTTAAAGAAAGTCAGGAGTTATTAATTATAGGATAAATTAAATTATTAAAAAATAAATGAAAAATAAGTAACTAAGTAAGAAAACAAAAAACCGAAATAAAAAAATTAATGAATAAGTAAGTAATGAATAAATTCACAAATTAAATATCTTACGTTTCGCTACCGTCAGTTGCTGCCCTATGACACTTGTAAGTAACAGTTTGGCAGTTATATTTAAGCGGAGCCTTAAACTTTCCACGTGGAAAAAAAAGTTTTCCAGGGAAATGATTCTAGCTTAAGAAATCAATGTGTATTTTGAGTTCACTGGAATGGTTTATCTATTTAAGAGTACTGTCCAGGCTTACCTTTCCAGCATGGTGCTTAAGTGTGAAGTAGTCATCGTGAGGCTGTAGTAATCCCGAATAGTCTCTATTTGAGGCAACTATATCCTGCATTTTCTGCCAGGGGTAAAATTATATTGTGCTTAAGACTGATACAGACATTAGGGAGCTTAAGCTTAAGCCTGGTTTTCACTAGCGACGCAAGCACAAGCACAAGCACAAGCACAAGCGCAAGCACAAGCGCAAGCATAAGCGCAAGCACGAGCGCAAGCACAAGCGCAAGCACAAGCGCAAGCACTAACGCAAGCACTAACGCAAGCACAAGCGCAAACACTATCATTCTTATTCCACCGTGAAAACGGCCTTGACGCAGGCATAAGCACAAGCGAAAGCGCAAGCACAAGGATCAAAATTTTCCTTTTTCTTGTGCTTGCGCTTATGCTTGCGTTTCTGCTACAAGTAAAAACGAAATACTGCTCAGGCATAACGCAAGGATATTTACCACACGTGGATATGTTTGGCCAATGAAAAAAATGGATCCAGATTACTTCGCACCTAAACAGTTTTCCAAAATGGCGGAAGGTTCGGATGATTTTGCTTGTGCTTGCGTCGAATTTCGTTTTCACTCGGGTCATCCCTAGTGCTTGCGTTTGTGATGGCGCTTGTGCTTGCGTCGCCAGTGAAAACCAGGCTTAACAACGACGACGACGACAACGAGAACGTCACCAAAAAAAGGGTTTAATGAGTAGAAAAATAGCTGTGCGCATGCGTTATAAAGCTTTTCTACATTTCTTTGCCGTCGTCTGCAAAACAATAACGTGAACTGACCAAGTTCTGCGTTGTCTGGGGAAAGCAAACGACTACTAATTCTTCGTATTTCCGTTTGAATTTGAACGCTGTTATTGCATATTTAGCCTGAGCAATTTATCAGTTAGAGCCATTGGCTTATTGAACAAATCTACACAATTGCAAATTTTGCTGGCAAAATATAAATTCACTTTTTACCAGGCATCGTCCTCGGCGTCGCCGTCGTCCTTGCTTAAACTCCCTATTGACGTAGAACGAAGAGATCGAAACGGGAAAATAGCTCACCAGGGACTAGATGGTGAAGGATCTGCGTCACGTTTTGAGCATCTTGAAAAGTTGTCAAATTCGTCGTTTGCAATCCCTGTCAATCTTCTCCATCTTTAACCATCCTTGTTCCTTAATGTTTTTCATTACATAACTCTTTGGTGTTTTTCTATCTTAGAAAACTATTATTTTCAGGTTTCCTTCAATTCAAAGGTAGTTTTGTACGTGGTCAAAATAACTCAAAATAACGTGACTGAGCTCCTTTAAGTGAACAATTATGTTCCACATAGAAAGGCACTTCACATGCATTTATAGCGTAGACAAAAGTGTCTTACTGGAAAATACACCACTCGCAAAATGCATACCAACTTACACCCGGGACCGTAGTGGCGTATTTTCCATATCCTCACTTGTGAGGATATCGGTGACGTCATCTCGCGCTAGTGCATTGAACGGTTGCCAAACTTTGACAAACACCGGTTGAAATATGGCGAGCGATAGGGAAGTTAAATTCACTGAGGCCGACATAAAATCTTTCACCAAGGAGCACGAAAATGCCAAAAATGCTAAAATGAAGAAAGAAACTTCATGTGGCTGAAAACAACTCAAGGAGTTTATTCAAAGTGACCAAAGGAGAGATGTTCAAGATATTCCAGCCGCCGAGCTGCGGTTTGTGCTTAGCTTTCGATTCGCTTCCGTAGTTTTTTTTGTTTCGTGCCAAAAGCAATATCTCACTCATATGCTGCGCTCACTCTTGAGATATTTTTGTTGCCATTTGAACGTAAAATTCATATCTTTGAGTCAACGCATAATATCCTCTACGTATGCATCGAAATAAACATCAGAATCAAATGGTACGTTATATTCTTGGGTTGCACTGTTACTCAATTAAAAAAATAATTCGAAAACCATTCAATGTATTAAGTCATGAAATTATGATGCTATAGGAGATAAATAAAGAAGACACCTCTCCAAGTTTTAGGTCTGTACGTTTTCGAAATATTTTGTACAAATTTACAGACTCCAGTATGGAGCCACCATGTTGGTGTACCTCCATGGTTCACCAACATGGTGGCCGGGAAATAGTGTAATCATCTGGAAATTACTTGCGACTGATTATCTGAACTGATCAAGCAAACACTGAAATAAGCACTTTTTCTAATACGTTAACTTCTAAGAAAGAAAAAAAAAAATCACGAGATAAGTATATATTTTTCGACAAACACGTTCGTAGCTTTATGTCTCGCACCGCCATAACTCTGAAATTCAAAATGTGCCTGTTTTCAGACGATGAAAGCTATTGAGCTGAAAAGTTGTCAACAGATGCAAATATAGTCCCTCTTATGCCTAATGAGGATAACAACTTTGGTGGCTCTTTAGTTTTGGATTTTAGAAAGTGATGACGTCACGTGAATACCAAGAATAATAAGGGATAAAGCTGATGCCACTTTCTGCCCCACTCATCTGCTGCGAAAAGAAACTAGAATTGTCTCGATTTAGAATGTCTACTTCCAAGCAGCTAAAACGTACATGTTATGAGGAACTCTCGCCTATGACATGTGATTCAACATTTTAGTTAGTTATAAATGCCCGTCGACTTGTTTCATAGAAAACATGTTGCAGTTTAGTGAGCGACAGAAGCCGTAAGCAATTTTGAATAATTATCAGCAGTTGGTAACATCTTAAGGAGCCTTGAAAAGCCAGAATTTTAGGGAGTCAAAAAAAGCACCCTTTCAGGGAGTCTTAAAAGCCAGCATTTTAAGGAGTTTTAAAAAGCCAGAATTTCAAAGTCTTAAAATACAATAGTTTCAACGGGTGTTAAAAGCCAACACATTAAAGAGTCTTAAAATACAAGCATTTTAAATAGTCTCCTCAAACTCGTTAATAATTCAAATGAAGGAAATCATGACCGTGACGGTGTTTGGATACCTGGTCTTCATTACAATAGCTTTTTACGATTTTATTTCTCCGTTTTCTACTTAGTTTTAGTTTCGATTGAGAAGATATATCAAACACTCAAGACAGTGTTTGACCACATTTCCAAACACCTCGAAGTTCATCAAAAATACTCCGCTACGCTTCGCGTGTTAATAAATAAATGAGACTCTCTTCTCGGTTTTGGAAAATTGGTAAAACGCGGTCTTTCGTGTTTGATATAATACTTGAAATAAAGCGTTTTAAAGAGTCTAAAAATAAAAACATTTTAAAGACTCTTAAAAAGCCAGCATTTTAAAAAGTCTCAAATACGAGCATTTTAAAGAGTCTTAAAATGCACGCGTCATTAGGAGTCTTGAAAAGGGCGCATTTTAAGGCGCCTTTAAGTGTTGAAAGGAGTATAATTACATAACGATATTTAGACGGACTGAATTTATGTAAGTGTGTTTTTGGTATTTGTTATGTCTAATGACTATTTTTATATAACATTCTGTTGCCAGCTACTGATAATGATCCCACTGTTGTGTTCACCCGCGACTATTAAACAGTGACCAAACTGTATGATCAGAACGATCAGATGTCCTGTCACGCAAGCCTCCTGGGGATAATGTGATATGTTTTAAATTTGTAAATCAATTTGGCCGCCATATCAGTAATAATTAAGAATGTCAAATATTTTGAAACGATAGCCAATAGCCAATGAATGAATACATATAGATGTAAATTAATGACGATGTTCATCTACATAAATTTTCTTTTGCTCTAAAGAAAAACCTTCCTGTGGGTACCCAATCGAGAGCATATCAACAAGAACTCTAATCGAGTAAGACTCTACGGAAATGTGGTTCTGGATCACATCATTGCTTTTAACTACCATAGCAATTCTTGGAAACGCTCTCGTGATATACCTCCTCATCACTCGCCGTCGACTTCGTAACAAAACAAACTATTTTCTCTTATCACTGGCTGTGGCAGATATCATTTTAGTGGCTGTTTTTATTCCGCCTCATTTCGGCTGCCAGATAGCTGGCTGCAGCCATTCAATGGTGATCCTATATTTGGTTTCATACTTCGGGGAAGTTTCTGCTACGAACATAATGGCTTTCACCGTGGATCGCTATTGCGCAATAGTCCTTCCTCTCAAGTACACACACATTATAACAACGAAGACGATCACTCTTCTTCTTGTGGCAGCCTGGTTGGCGCCGTTAATTCTAGATGTTATTCCAACACTTGTGCTGTCAAATGAATATATCACACAGCTTACAAGCATGGTGATTTTTCAAATAACACCCTGTATTTTCTTAGCGATAGCAATAAGAAAAATTATCAAAATAGCAAACAGCCATTCTAGGCGCACTTCGGTTCTATTGAAGCAACTGAAGTTCAATCGTCCGAACCAACGACTGCAAGGAAAATCAGACGTGTCGTCAACTCGCTTGATCAGCGTTATGGTTGGAATATTTTTAGCTTGTTACATATGCCAGTCATTGTCTTCGCTGTGTTCCTGTTTTCCGTCTTGTACAGAATTGCAACCCGAAGAAGTCGTCAGATATACTTTGTCTTTTCTGCTGATTATAAATTCTGGCGCAAACCCTTTTGTCTATGCACTTTTCAAGAGAGATGTTAAGAAGGAATTTACTCGGGTTTTTCTGTGCAAAAGAAGAACTGAGAGATAAACAGTCGCTTTTTAATGAAAACAGAGCAAATTCGTGTAGATATCGGAGGGACAGAATATCATCATCATCATTATCAGACAGAATTGTTTTTATGGAATCAGAATGTCTGAAGTCAAGGATTTAATTATCTTTTTGCCTCATTTCTCTTTCTCATTAAACGAGGATTAAAATTCCTTAAAAACCAACAATTTAAAAACATTCATGCATGTTTTTCTGCATGAATTAGTTCTATTGTAAGATACATAATTATGCGTCTGTTTGACTCCAGGTGTAATGGATTTTACTCTTGAAGCAATGTTTCTACATTTCTCTAATTTTTCTTGGCTTGCTCGTTCATTTTATTACCTAACATTCTCATAAAGCAATATGTCTAATCTTTTGATTTTCTTTAAACTTGAACAAAGACAACTAAACTTTCAATTCGTGAGAGGTTCAAATGCATCTTTTGGTTAATTAGAAGCGGAAAATTATTAAAGGAAGTAGACTTTTCCTTTTTTGGCCATAAAGCGTCAGCGTTACTCCGGGATATTAAGTTTATTCCATGAAATTAGGTCTGATCAGCTTTCATACCAGATGTCCAGATGTAGCAATATCAGACTTTAGCTATATTCACCAATATCCCATTTAGCG